ATAGAACATGTAATACAAAAAACGGACAGACAGACACACGAGCGATCGTATAAGCGTTCCGTTTTTTATTTGGGCGTATGGAACCCTAATTCGAGAACCAATTTAACATTGTATTAGTTGAAAAAAAAAACATGTTCTCCCATACATTCAAACGTACAATATTGTTTTGTTGAATGTTTTACCACTTTATGTTCAGGCTACAGACTTCTTATTAATTTCTCTGTAATCTGTGAGAACGGTTAATTTAGTAATTCGAAAAAGGTTGTTAAAGGTGTATATTTGGAGCGCGGCGTTGTACGGGTGCGAAACATGGACAATGCGCGGCGGAAAAGAAAAGGTTAGAAGCGTTCGAAATATGGTGTTATAGGCGAATGATAGGTTACTGTGGATAGAGAAGGTTAGAAATGAAGAGATATTAGAAAGAGTAAGAGAACAGAGGACTTTATGGAAGTTAATAAGAAATAGGCGAGATAGGTTGGTAGGACACCTTCTCAGGCATGAAGGTCTAGTCAGAGACATATTAGAGGCAGAAACAGGANACTAAAAATTATCTACCCTCGGTAGGTACTCTTGTTGAGTTTTCGTTTCGCTGTCTCGGTTTCCGCTGTAAAACAAATTTTAGTATCAATTAACGTTTGTTCCGACCGCCAGTAATAACGGTGGTTGTTAGAAACAAACCCGAGTCATTATATGATACGTTCCCCTTTAAAACAACCTTCGTTTAAGTAATCCCGTCAGGTCTCAAACAATTTTCTCTGTCTGCGAGCATTTCTTGTTTTTCGTTATTGTACTAAAGGAGTTCGAAATGGCTCTCAGAATAACGGATGAAATTTTACAGTCAGCGGATTGCATTCTAGGAGATAAACACAAAAAAAAAGGGTAGTTACTACAACTAAACAAGTTCTTAAAAACGGCTAGAACGTGAACACCCTCGAAATTATTTAGATAGACAGTTAACAGGTTTAATAACAAAATTGTTATGCTTCTTTGCATTAGATGTGTGTGTGTGTGTGTGTGTGTATATATATATGTGTGTATGCACCGGCACCGTATCGATGACTAAAACGATATTTATCGGTATCGCACCTGCGATCTAGAATCTATTTACCGGTACCGTACCAGTGACTAAGAACTACTTATACAGTAACGGATTTTATATATTTACAAAAGTGGATATAATTACTTCAATCTAATATTGAAAGTGTTAATACAATTTAGAATGATTAGTCAACAATTTAACTATATTTAAATAATAACCCAGTAGTATATGAATCATCTTAGCCTGTCTTATTAGATAATTAGACGGTAAGACGCCTCACCACCCTGCACCTTCATTATCTTGGGTTCGACTCCACACTCTCGACTTGCTGACTTGATTGCTTTATTGCTATTAATTCTACTATTTAAACGATCGATCAGTTTTAAATAAACGATTTATATGTATCACCAGTGGCGTAATTAATAATTTATGCATACATACTATGTAATAAAATTAATGTTTAAAAATAAAGAATAGGTCTGATGCACTTTGCCCTTTACCCCCCATCCCCTTTTGGCCCATTGAAATACTATCCAGGGACATCGCCCTCTGATCACTTCCGCATCTCGAAAGACTGATTTGCATTTGAGTGATTTTTCTTCTTTATATTTTATTATTGTTTTTTTCCGGGTACGTTTTTTACTCCGACGTATTTTACGATTGTCCTGCGTACCTACATCGTGAGGATTTGAAACAGATTTCCATTCGTTATAGGTTCGTATTTAATTCGAATCGAAAACGTTTATTTTATTCAGAAAAGCCGACGGAATGAGTCAAGGAGAAACGCAAAAGTTTTGATTGAATGCGAAATTACCATTTTCTAACGCATTCCGAATACAAAAGCCATTTTATTCTCGGCAACAATAAAAGTACATGCCAAAAGAATTAGGAAGCGACTCAGACAAAGATGTACAGTATAGGTACATAGACACCGCTGCTTTTGAATGTAGGTACCTATGTATCGAAGACGCGATAAAGATCATTAACGACAGGATAATTTCATTGATAGGGATGATAGGGGATGAAAAATTAGAAGAAGTGGCTGTTCTGGGAAGTCAGATAACTCAGGGTGCTTCTATGCTAGCGAACAGTTAATTTAGAAATACGAAAAAGTTAAGGGTGTATGTCTAAAACACGGCGTTGTACGGGTGCGAAACGTGGACGGTGGGCCCAAAGGAAAAGAAAAAGGAAGAAACGTTCGAAATGTGGTGTTATAGGCGAATGATGAGGATACAGTGGATAGAGAAGGTTAGAGATGAGGAAGTATTAAAAAAGTAGGAGAACAGAGATAGGTTGGTAGGACATTTCAGGCATGAAGGGCTAGTCAGGGACATATTAGAGGTAGAGACAGGAGTTAAGAGGACTATAGGTAGACCTAGATTAGCTCAGAGTAAGAAAAAGTGGATGAACAACTTATGATGTTGAATTTCATAACAGGATCAACCTTTCGTGGACTGTTTGGACAGACACCTTCCTTCCTATCTTGTGCCAATCTTCCTATTTCCAAAAACTAGAGCATTCCAGATCATTAACTATATTTACGTATAGTAATCTATAAACTAGATCTTCGTGAAGTATTTAATAAAAAGATTAAAAAGTAAAAAATATAACATTCTATGATTCTTCCCTTGAGTTGTATCAACAAAATAATACGTGCCAATTAAGGGATGAAATGATTTTTTATTTTAAAAAACAATCTTTGTTTCGCCTCGGATAAGAGTCTTTATGAAGGCTGAAATGCAGAATTAAACTTACAATTACACAAAACAACAAAGTTTTTTGTTTTAAAAAATATTAAGGAAGAGAAACCTTTCTTGGTATTTTGTGTAATTGTAAGTTTAATTCTGTATTTCATCCTTGTAAAAGCCTCTTATCTGAGGTGAAACATTGGTTGTTTTTTTAAAATAAAATATTTTAAGATTATCCTTACTATTTAAAGAAATTGAATAGAACTTTGAATATGGTGGAGGCGCCAGTCTTCACAATAACACGATAAGTTCAGTGTACGTATAATTTCTGAAGAAGTCAAAGCTTGGCGAAACAGTTGTCAAAAGTGTGTTATGTGTTTAATAACATCATCTTCTCTTTTTTTCCGTATCCTCCATCGTCCCCGCGTAATGCCTTTAATAAAATTTTAATCACCTTTCATGTTTACTAAAAATTATCTACCCTCGGTAGGTACTCTTGTTGAGTTTTCGTTTCGCTGTCTCGGTTTCCGCTGTAAAACAAATTTTAGTATCAATTAACGTTTGTTCCGACCGCCAGTAATAACGGTGGTTGTTAGAAACAAACCCGAGTCATTATATGATACGTTCCCCTTTAAAACAACCTTCGTTTAAGTAATCCCGTCAGGTCTCAAACAATTTTCTCTGTCTGCGAGCATTTCTTGTTTTTCGTTATTGTACTAAAGGAGTTCGAAATGGCTCTCAGAATAACGGATGAAATTTTACAGTCAGCGGATTGCATTCTAGGAGATAAACACAAAAAAAAAGGGTAGTTACTACAACTAAACAAGTTCTTAAAAACGGCTAGAACGTGAACACCCTCGAAATTATTTAGATAGACAGTTAACAGGTTTAATAACAAAATTGTTATGCTTCTTTGCATTAGATGTGTGTGTGTGTGTGTGTGTGTATATATATATGTGTGTATGCACCGGCACCGTATCGATGACTAAAACGATATTTATCGGTATCGCACCTGCGATCTAGAATCTATTTACCGGTACCGTACCAGTGACTAAGAACTACTCACCGGTACCATACCAGTAGCTAAGAAGCTATTTAGAGGTACCCAAACGTTGTATGAAACATAATTGATTATTGTTTCATGTCAATCATAGAACACCTTCTAACATGGTTTATGAGACTGTAAAACTAATACGGTGGGGTCAGAACTTATAATTTCCACAGTATAGACGTATGGAGCCTCAATAAATAAGGGTGCTTATGGAAAATTCGAAAATTCTTTTGTCTGACTGAAAATTTACACGTCGGGAGTAAAAATTTAATTCAATTATTATTAATTTTAATTGTTTAAAATAGATTAAGCTTGAATTTAATCTTCTTCTTGCAACACCAATAAGTATTCTTTTACCTGGGTACCGGTGAATGGCTTTTCGCCACTGGTACTGTATCGGTGAATATCNGTTGAAGCCGCAGAGAATCAAAGAACATGTAGCAATCCCTACCATCAAAGAAAATTTTGACTCAACTACTAAATTAACAATTTCATCTATGTTTAAATCAGTTATTGCATTTTCCTAAGGTGCGATAGTGGTGAGTCCGTCCCTTCTTTTCACTTTCGTTGTTATTTATGTAATTGTTTCTTCTGACTCGACATTTAGTTGAAAATCGATCAGTAATTTTAGGTTTGCTTTCGTCAAGTTAAACTCGGGTTGCTGCGTTCGTCCCGCACGAAGTCCAGTCACGTTTCGGATATCCAGCGAACTCCTCAAGAAGGATTACCTTAATTTCTAGTCTGCACCAAGTGCCTACCAGCTTTCGAAAACGATCTCGAGTGGCACACAGTGGCGAGAATCAATAAGAAAGAGAATTTTCCAATAAGTCAAACAAAAAGTGTTAGATACTGCTAGTCCTTACTCTAAATCAGAAAAGAAAATAATCGGAAATAGAAACCGCACGCATTGTTTTAACACTTTAGCAACGTAGTTTCTTTCGAAGAAAGTTAATAAAGCTATTCTTAAAGTTAATTACATAAGTTGGAGTTGGAAGATTTTCTCAGTTACGATAAATACTAACGGTAGGTAATTTTAATACATATAATTCATAATAATGATCATCATCATCATCATCATAGGGTCGATTTCTTAATCTGTTGCCCAAAAGTTCATCATCCTCAGTCCTAAGACTAGACTCGTTCCTATCCTGAGCTAATCTTCGCATTTCCATATGTATGTATATATTTTATGTACAATAATCTAATCTACATCTATCCTTACTACTCTTAACTCCTGTTTCTGCTTCCAAATAGGTCTCTAACAACCCCTCGATGCCTTACAAGGTGTCCTCCTACTTTGGTATGATCACAGTTGGCAAAGCAAATAAAGTATCTGTGTGAATGGATCTTCTTTCTTGTCTCCACTTCGAAAAATATTTTTTGTATACACCTTTAACAACCTTTTTTGAATTTCTAATATGGAAAATTATAATCATACATGCATGTTTTTTTATAAAAGAAATATATTTTGTTTAGAACTATGATGAATTTCGCGGGCTGGAAAAATGTTCAACTTAGCCGCGGGTTGACGACCCCTTTTGTATGTAAATTTTGAACTAAGGCAGAGGTAATAGTTAGTTTTCAATTTATGCTTACGACTATACGGTAGATAGCTGATTCCGTTGTTCAGTCGATGTCGATTGGTAACCGAATGGGAAACAATTAGGACGGGGGAAAACCCATTAGCAAAGCCCGCAATGAAATTAGTCGCAAGCAGATGTGGTGTGAACTTTCAATGCATCACATGGTCTCATATATCCTGTCGTATATTTATAGCTTCTGTCAATAAGTTAGGGAAAATATTTACTTCTACCGTAGAATTATTGAAAGATAGCGCTTACCTCATCGATCTAATCCAAAATGTATTGGTAATATATTTAAATGTACCTACTTACAATTAGTCAAATAAAGTGAACGCTAGCCGTAACTAATTTAGTTTGTGTAGAGAGGTCTACTAAATGAATACCGAATAAATCGCAATGCGTATGTAAAGCCATTGATAAAATTCGTTCATTCATAATCCATTCATATTGTTGAAGGCTAGCTCTGTGTAGGCGTTTACTTTTGGTTTTTATTGACGAACTTTATGAATCAAATACGTGAAGTTAAACCTGTAGCAAATGAAGCACAATTCTGCTATTTCTAAACAATTTCTGCCTGAACAAGTAATAAAAATATTATGTCTTTCAGTATTCTGAGTACATTTTATTTATTTTTTGACCTATGTATTGATTAATAAAGTTAGTGTATTCGTTACAATCTTATTTTTCTATAAGCCGCATTACCATCGCATTGCTCAGAAAAAATTGGTTAGCATTCGGGAAGTTTCTCGAAAGTTCTAAAAAATTATAAAACATTCTCGAATCCTTTTCAGGAAAAATCTTGTGTAACGTTTTAACAGACGTCGGAGCTGAATCAACGCCTTTAGCAACTCTCTATATGGAGTCTTTCGGGGCGATTTGTCTTTTAATGCCCATATTTTTGAAACCAACCCCTGCAGATAAAGAACAAAGCCTTCCCCATAGACAAGGGATGAATATAACTCTCATTAGGCTGCGGGATTCCCTTAAATTTTCTTTTGTTTTTCCAGTTAGATTACCATTTTCTTGCATCAATAAACTTCAAACTTATTACGCCCGATCAACAATAGTGTAAGATATAGGTTGATATGCGTAAGTAAGAATTCAAGAAGTGAGTCGAACTCTAATGAATCTTTAATAGACCGCGGAAACCATTATCATATGCATTTGATTCCTCATCGAACAGATTGCTTTGTTTCCGTGATAATAATGTCATGTAAGAATAAAGACGAGCGAACCGATTCCGAGAAGAATAGAATTGTATGAATACCAACAATCACATTATAATACAGAATAAAAAAAAATGAAAACGCTTTCCTTGTTGAAGCGATGAAATTGTGGTTGAGAATGAAAATCAAATCAAAAACTAATAAAATTGATTTTTTTTTGCTTTTTAATCACTACTTTCGACGTTCAACATTCCATCGTTTACTCTGAATCTTTAATCAGAAGTCATTCGAGGTGGTAGAAAACAATTGGATAAAAAATTGGCAGGTCTAAATGTCTACATTCGGTTGTACAGTTGGTTGCATATATTCCAATCGCATGTAGTAACCATTAAACTGTTCTTTGACGTGTACTACACTACACTTCAATGATAAAGGTATCGTTCAAATTTGGATTAATATTACGTTAATCTACTCCATTTTTTGGGAAATACGTACAGGTACATGTAATAATCCATTTCATTGTTGTCAAATAGTTTGCTAACTTTATATATCCTTCGGTATCTAGTCATCTTAAGTAAAATCAAAACTAATGTAATTTTGCAACCCTTCTGTTTGCATCATGTTGACTCATCTAATAGTACCTACTTCGAAAATACAATCTACTTTGTACACCGTACACATATACAAAATACAAAGTTTATTTAATGGGCTGACGGAGGGAAAATCAAAACAAATTAATGTTTAACCCAGTTACTACGTTTGGTTGATTACGTATGCACCTTGATACTCAATAGGGGTAGACGTTGTTCATAATTGTTGTTGCCCTTGTTAGGGATCACAGAAAGCCTGTGCTCAAGTTTAAGCAAAACATTACCCATTGAAATAAATCAAACGTGTTTGATAGGCTTAACAAAGGGGTAGATTAAGTTACGGCTACAGACAAAAGGATAAAAAAAAATGTAATTTGATACAGCGTATAGGCACATCAATGGAGATATATTCATTCTGAAATTTAGAACACACATTATTATTGAGAAATAATAAAAATGTGACTGTGAAAATGTATTTAGGACAAACAAGTGGCACATTTGAATTCAGATTACAATAGCATAAAAGAAAGTAATTATTTTAGATTATCGTTGATGTAATTTTACAAATTGGACATAATAGACATCAATAAAATGTATTTCTAAGAATTATTTGTTATATTTAGTGTATTACATCGAATTGAAAAATGTAGCTGATGTAAATAGATCTTATTTATTAAATATCTGTCAATCACTCCGGTCTTAGTGGCTAATTGGGATCTAATATTGTTGTTCATCATCATAAGGTCATCTCATCAGTCCTAAGACTGGTTGGACACGTACCTCCACTCTTTCCTATCCTGAGCTACCTCTACCCCTCCTAACTCCTGTTTCTGCCTCTAATATGTCTCTGACTAGACCTTTATGCCTGCGAAGGTGTCCTACCAATCTATCTCGCCTATTTTTTATTGTCTTCCATAGAGTTCTCTGTTCTCCTATTCTTTCCAATACCTCTTCCTTTCTAACCTTTTCTACCCACGATATCCTCATCATACGCCTATAACACCACATTTCGAACGCTTCTAATCTTCTCTTTTCCGCTGCTCCCACTGTCCATGTTTCGCACCCGTACGACGCCGTGCTCCAAACATACACCTTTAACAACCTTTTTTGAATTTCTAATATGGAAAATTATAATCATACATGCATGCACATCAAAAATGGTTGTTGAGGTGTTCGTAAATGCAATGGAAGCAATAAAACTCCCTCTACACTTGCAGATTATCTGCGTACAGGAGATTGCATTTGTATTACAGGATTATTAGGATAAGTCATGCAGATACGTACATATGTATGTGTATGGAGGTATGTGGGGGTAAAGGACAACTGACGGCTCCTTAATGACAAACAATTCGGTATTTGACATAGTTGGACCAACTAATAATTAACTGTCAGACATTTATGCTAATTAACCATGAACAGTAATTGTGTTTAACGCCAATCCAAGGAATACCAAATTAATTTACAATTTTGGGATTAGAAACGTCGAGTTTAAAGTTTTTTCAACAAATACTAATATATATTCCTTTAATACGTAAATGCATTTGCTGTTGGTGAAAATCCGTTTCTATTTTTGTTCATCAGCTGAATAAGAAACGTCGACTTTTCTTTATATTGAAATCCCTTGCTCCCGGATGGAATGAAATTTGTAATTTTATGGTCATCGCTTTTGACATTTAGAAACCAATGGAAATTTAGTCTGCAAAGCTCCAGTTTAATAACTGTACAGAAAGGATTTTCTTCGGAAAATGCCGTCTGCATCATTCGGAAACTCCACCAGACATTTATGCTCAGTAATTCAAAATGAATGGTTTGTTCGATACAAATGTTCCTCTAATAAAATGTTTATTTGCCGGGAACGGATGGAAATCAAATTTGTAGCACATATTAAAAGGTCGGGACTTTAGTATAATTGCAATTTGTTAAGACACAGTACAACAACAGTTTTCCGGAAATGTAATTCCTTTCTCTGGCTTACATAACGTGGACTTAGGGGAGATGATATTTGTAGAATATTTTTTATTATAAATCAAACGGTTTTATTTATTTAGATAATCCTATTAGACTATTAGTATTTTCATAGTTCAGATCCCCAAGAATACATTTTTGAATCTATTATAAATAGATCATTTAAACAACTGATTTATTGTGACCACATTCAAAGTAATTTTATCGATTTTATAGTTCGCTGTCAACCACCTTACCAATATATCAGTGTAGGTTTTTCCCTAACGACTTCTTCAATAGATGCCCTAGCTGTCGTACGGATATGTGCCTACTATAATAACATACAATTTAATATTTGGAGAAGAAAACAAATGTAGCACATCATCATAAGGTCGTCAGTCCTAAGACTGGTTGGACACGCACCTCCACTCCTTCCTATCCTGAGCTAAACTTCGCATTTCCTTAAAACTGGAACAACCCATATCTTAAACTATTTGCGAGCAATAATCTAATCTAGATCTACCTCTACCCCCTTTTAACTTCCGTTTCTGGCTCTAATATGTCTCTCACGTTATCCTTATCATTCGCCTATAACACCATATTTCGAAGGCTTCTAACCTTTTCTTTTCCGCCGCGCCCACTGTCCATGTTTCGCACCCGTACGGCACTTCGCTCCAAACATACACCATTAACAACCTTTTTCGAATTTCTAAATTAACCGTACGCGAGCATAGAAGTGACTTCTTTTCATTGAAGGCGACTCGACCCTGCGCTATCCTCTGCTTTATATCTATATCTGACTTCCTAGATACCTTAAATCGGCCACTTCTTCTAATTTTTCGTCTCCTGTCTTTATATCCGCTCTTTCCCTAGCTTTTCTTCCCTTGCCTTCATTTCCTTTTGTTTTATTTTTATTTATTTTCATATATTACTGTTTTGTCAGTATCTCATCCATTTCATCATCTGCAAGTCTAAGCATACTAATCTT